GAACAACCCCCCCCCCCCCTCCATCTTGGATGAAGAGGAGCAGGGAGCTGATCCCCCTATATAGGATTTCAATAAGAATTTCCCTTATCCTCAGCCTGGTTAGGACAGGTGCATTTATCTTTTAAGCAGCACAGTGGCGTACTGGTTAGCGCTTCTGGGGTCCCTGGCTGGGTCACTATCTTGAAGTAGTTTGCATGTTCTTACTGTGCTTGCGTGGGTTTCCTCCCACACTCCAAAGACATGCTGGTAGGGTAATAGGTTCCTGTCTAAATTGGCCCTCATACTGTATGTATGCATGTGAGATAGAGACCTTAGATTGTAAACTCCTTGAGGGCAGGAACTGATGTGAAAGTGCAACTATGTAAAGTGTTGTGTAAATTGGCGATGCTATATAAATGCAGTATCTGTAATACATAAACCATGCTACTGTTATGACAGTCCCAAAAGAGGTCTCTATATACTCTCATGAGAATCTTATAGATGGCACAATCTTAAATATTGCATTATGAGCCCGCTTGTGGAAAGTCTGAAGAAATCATTGTATAAATACAAACAATACAAAGCATTTGCTTTGAGATACAGTATTTAAGACTATTTGTTACTTACTGCTACATGCTGGTGGCAAAGACCACTTCCCGTTGCTGCAGATACTTTCGGGCCACCCATTCATTTCAAAATCTTTGCTGCACTTGTATGTCACTACATTTCCAGTGAAGTACTCCTCTTTTGTATTTGATGGATCCAATGTCCCAAATGGTATGGATGGAGGTTTATTACATTTCAATGACCCTTAAGCAAAAATGATATATATGAATTGACCATTTTACCTGTGTATTCTTTACAAACACAGAAGCTTGTAGCATTATACACTTTACACTGGGTTCTGCCAAAAAACAGTCAAAGCATAGACATGAAGATATTGAAACAGATAAATCCTTAGCTGTAAAAACAACCTGTGAGGAGCTGAAAACTGTGGGGTTGATTTACTAAATGCAAAAAGCTATTCACTTTGAAAGTGAATTTGCACTTTCCACAGGGTTTTTTTTCCTTAGCTTAGTGGATGAGGTGAAGCTCTGCTGAGTTCCATCATCCAATCACGTGCAAGTAAAAATACAGTTTTTTTTAGTTTCCTTGCAAATGATTGGGCTTTTTCACCACATTTACCAAGCCAAGGGGAAACCTTCCCTGCAAAGTGCAAATTCCCTTCCAAGGTGAACAGCCTATTTGCCTTTAGTAAATTAACCCCTGTGTGTCCATGCTTTTTTATTTAAAGGGAACCATAAACCCCTAGATCTCTTTAGCATACTTGCAGTATGCACTACAGTCCTCAGATACAGTGGCAGCCAGCAGACCACAGAGCAGTGGCTTTATTTGCATCTTTTCAGCACTTTTCCTTTTCCCCATTGGCTATGCCCAAGTCATAGGCTGTATAGCAAGTCTTAGGAAAATAGAATTTGTCAGTAGATAAATATGGGAGCTGCCACTGAAGCACAACACTTGTTTTGGAAGGTACCGTTTCTATATATTAGCCCCTTGCAATATAATTGAATGCTGTGGGCAGCAAGTTCCCTTCCTGTCCAAATTTTCTTTGCACCAATTTACATAAATTAGCCCAGTCAATCTAAGATGGGTTATTTTGAGGTCCTAATCCTGTGAACTGGGACTATCATTGCACAGCATCAGTTGCATCAGGGCTGTAGGTTCATATTTAGTCTGCAAATGTTGTTTGACTGTAGAATTTAAAGTCTGCAGAAGGTACTCACTGACACACTGAGGGGGTGATGTCCATTTGCCATTCTGACAAATGACAGATGTAGGGTCATGAAGTTTGAAACCTGTTTTGCATTTCATCTGAATTTTGTCACCATCATAGTAGTCCCATTTTTGTTCAATAGCTTCGGTATTGGCTGGCTGTGGTGGAGGCGGACACTTAGACATTCTGGCAGCAACTGAAACTAGACATAATTGTTAAGCAGTTTTTGGCAACATGAGCATTGGCCTGAAAATGGCAAAGCAAAATTCTTGGACGCAGAATGGTTACCATCATTTAAGATAGTCATTGTAGACTGTGTACACGTACACACACAAATCTACACATACACATTATTTAACCAGTGTAAAGTAACAAGAACATAAAATCGATATTTACCTTCACACACTGGTAAAGGTGGGTCCCATCCATAGTAATAACACTGGCTGATTGGAGATCCTTTCAGTATCATCCCTTTATCACATGAAAATGTTCCTACTTGGCCATTGGAATAGACCGGATGAAGTTTACTAAAACTAGTGGATGGTGGCACAGAGCATTTAATTTCTAATAGACAAATGGGATAAATAAAATGTTAACAGTTAAAGAACGGAACACTCCTAGAACATATCTTTGAATCACAAAAAATTGAATTGATTTATCACATTAGATAATAAAATACACAAATATCACAAAATATTAACCAAGTTCAGTAAATATAACTGTAGTTAATCAATAGGAAGGGATCATGGGGTTCAATAAAATCCTGCAAATCCGTGTTTGAAGATTGAGCTTGAACGTAGCCATATTCTGTATTGACTCTTTGTCTTGGGCTGTCGTAATCATCGGTGCTAGGGCCAGGAGGCCTAGCTTTTGTATCATAGGACCCATAAGTGGAAGATAAAACCACCTGCCCAGAAACTGAATGCTGGCACTCACATAATGCCAACAGCCTATTAAGACAGAGAGTATTTATCAGTTTGTAATTATTTCAATATTGGAGTTGAAGTGTCTTAACCTCTTGCCGTCCGCCCGTAGTAAAAAAACGGACGGACGGCACTGCAGCATCTGCGGGTTGCCGTCTCCAGACGGCAATTTTGTTCTGCTCGCGCGCGCCCCCTAGCGGGCACGCACGGGCAGAAAAGACCCGTCCAATGCGAACAACAAGTATTATTATTTTAAAATAAAACGAATTTTGTTATTAGCATAACATATAAAGCATTACAGCTGTTGAGATACATATATGCGATGTGTTTGGTCAGCCTAAGGATTTATAGACAGCATAAACATGTTGTTACTGGATTTATCTCTGGTGCATTAAAGAATTACAGTATAGTCATCTGCCCAGCAAAGCCTATGATTGAAACAGTGAAGAAGTAGAACACACAGATCAGTTAATGTATTTGCCCTCTTCCCCTGTCAGAACGTTCCTCAGTGAGACATATGCATTCAACACTGCAGTACACCTGACCTCTTGCACTGCCTTTCCCTCTCCCTATTGGAGTGCTGCTGTACAGTGGATTTTAAGAGGCCAATTGTAGGTACTTGAACAATATGCATTTAAATAAACATGTAATTATTAATTATTAGAAAACAACATAAATCAGTGATTTTTCTGACTGCATTTCAGCTTTAAATAAATAGCTTGTGGTTCTGGTGTTATGCAGGATTTTTTCTCCATAGATCAAATATCCATCATCATATGCTATGTACATAGGCAAAAGCTACCGGTAGTTATGAGCATTTAGGCACATATGTGGGAACTTTAGATTCTATTTCATCACAGTGTGCTGTGGGAGATGCGCATAGCAACATCAAAAACATATTCTTCTATACATCATCAGTATCAGAATCCAAATACACAATGGTCATCATCATCTTCACCAACCGCTGCTGTTGATCATTATATCCATACTTGTTCAGGCATGAGGGGGCACAGTCAACGTAACCTCAAGATCTGCAAGAACTTATGCCTCTTCCCATCATGAAATCAGCATGAAACTTAATACCCACAAATCCCCAACAACCACTTGTTTGCAAACTAAACACGCACATGTGCAAGATACTGCTGAGGCACTCACTGTCATAACATGGCCTTTGCCTCAATGAAGAATACTTATTCATCATCACTATTTCAACAAAACTATCCCTGTGTTGAACTCCCACATCACTGATAACGGTGCAGGCTGCAAACAATGTACAGTATTTAACCAAGTGCACACCATTGCAAATGCACAAAGCAGCAGATGCTGGCCGAAAAAGTTCATATTCTGCATGACTTATTAGGTCAATTTGATGACAGCACTAAAAAGGTTCAATGACATCAAGAATGAAAAGCACTGCCAAAAATGGTCAAGTTAAGCTGCCACAGTAGACTTTTGTCCATTTTCTCCATATCCTTCTTGCAGTAGCATTACTTGTCTCTAATACCAACATCGCCAACTGCTGATTGACCTATCTCTCTATCGCTATATCATATAGGCAAGGAGAAGCATTGCCATGTTGTATTGCACTTAACAACCTGGGGAAAAAAACACAGAGTGCAGTTTGATCTAAGCAGTTACCTGCAGTGTTTTGCAGTTTCTGTCATAGGGAAATCACAGACAATACTGAACTGAGACGCATTTGTGTCATACATAGGGTTGCCACCTTTTCTTCAAGCCAAACCCGAACACTGTAGCGCCTCGCGGCAATTTTTTGGTAAAGTACACTATGCACATATTTTGTGATTAAATAACATTGGAGGTAATCACAAAGATGCCAGTGTGCCACAGATCCACAGATATACAATCTGTACACAGTGGTGTACTCTGGTTTGGGGCCGCCCTAGGCAAGACGAAACTAGAATACAGCCTGTAGGCAGATATTGTACTTTTTTCTTTCAGGTAAAATGCATACAGAGAAATGCTGCATAACGCGCACTATTACATGTTAAAAGAACATGTCAAAGAACAACAAAGATACACAAAAACAAATTCCATGGCATGCATTAAAACACGTGAAACTGAATACATCTTCACAGTGCAAAGTGTGCATCCAACCAAACTAATCTATTTCATCATAGCCCTTTATACTAGATATATTTTTCTCAATTGCCAGTGTCTGGGTGAAAGCCAACGAGTTGCTTGCGGGGGGAATTGTTCTGTAATGTAATAAATGAGTCACAGAGTCTTTCCATTAGATGCTATGCTAGAATTATAATTTAGCTTTACCATTTGGTTACCATTCAAGTAGATATGTATGTCTAGATACATATACAGTAGGCATAAATAGATGAACACATGGTAAGAAAGATAGAGACAAAGAAAGGAAAAAAAGGAAGGAAGGAGTAAAGGAAGAAAGGAAGGGAGGGAGAAAAGAAGGAAGGAAAGAAGAAGGGATGGAAGGAAGGAAGAAGTCAAGGAAGAAAGGAAGGGAGGGATAAAAGAAGGAAGTAAGGAAGAAAAGAAAGAAAGAAGGAAAAAAGGGAGGGAAGCAAGAAGGAAGGAAAGAGGGAAGGGAGGAAACACAACATATTGCTGTACCAGAACATTGTGGAGCAGCTGACCATCCAGACAAAAGGCACTCTGCTTCTTCTATAATATTTCTTTGAGCTGTCATGTATCCTTCATCGCATTGATATTGGAGCCGCTCTTCAACTTTAAAAGATGTTTTATTTGGCACATAATGTCCATTCTCCAAGTTTGACACTTTACAGGTCCCTGCAAATAATTCAACAAAGTTAATATGCAACTAAAGTATTTACATTTGCAGATTACAGTTTTTTTAAGGCGCTCCTTATTAGTGATAGTTTACTCATGGGTTGTGGGGCTCAGCTATGTTCCCCCTGGGGTTACTTCTCCTTTAAAATGAATGCAGTCTATTGGTTATCTTTGCTCAGGAACTATATGAAATGGTTTCCGGGCACATGTCTTGAGCCTGAGGCTATTACTCTGTAAGTACACACAAACATATTGTCAGACCCTCTCCTACCACTTCGACATGTTTCTCCCCAATGTGGGCCCAGTTGTGACTCATAGTACAATGTTGTCCCTGTTTATTAGGTAGTATTTCTATATTGGATACCTGTATAACAGCTGCAGTCTGCACGGTAAGAAATATACGCTTCTGTCTTTTCTTCTTACATACAGTATTAATCTAAACCGGCTGCCTTTTTCTATAAGTATATCTGATCATATACTGTATATGTGATGCTTTATTGGTTAATCTATTGCAATCAAAACAAAACAACTTGAAGTAAATCTATGAGCCTGAAAATCGCTGCAGTAATCACCATGCATAAAATGAAGACAATTTAAGAAATATAAGAGGAACAGTTTAATATAAAGATCTTACATTTAGAAGCTGATATACTAAAGGATTTGAGAATGTTCAGACAATAAAATGTTTGAAGATTCACTTTAATTGTCCAGTCATGTTGAAAGTTAATCCATGTTTACTTCTTCATCTGGACATAATTGCATAATTGAAGTAAATTTTCACACAATGTATTGTCTGAAAATTCACAAATCCTTTAGCAAATCAGCCTCATAGTGTTTTACAGTTAGAGAAAGGAGATATATTACACCAGTCAAAGGCTTTGTAGTGGAATATAATATTATTAAAGAAGAACTATGGGGTTAAGGCTTTTCCCCATAGTTCTCCTTAGGGTAACGGGAGGACACAAACTAGCGTCCTCCCATCACCCTAAGCTCAGTATACTCTGTAGCTCAGTATACCGCTGTAGCTCGCAGCATACTGAGACACCACAGTATACCGCGAGCTACTGCTCGCGGTATACTGAGACGCCGCAACTGAAGCGGATCCCGACAATTATGTCTGGATCCGCCCAGCTGCGTGAGTGACAGCTGGCTCTGCCTATCTAGAGGCAGAGCCAGCTGTCCCCGCCCCCTCCCCCGTCCGATCCGCCAGTCAGCGCTGGCGGATCGGAGCTGGGAGGGGGGAATCCAGCCCCTCCCCTGTCACGGCAGAGAGCTGTGACAGGATCGAGAGGTGAGCGAACGCCGGTATGTGTTCGCTCACTTCTCGATCTACTGAGCCGACCTGTGACAGTCTCATGGCCACAGGTCAGCTAGAACTATGAGGTGAGTGAAAAGAACTCACCTCATAGTTCTCCTTTAACAAAGGATATTGGCATTCAGATAAATAATACAATCACTCATTTTAATTAAGAACATGATATGTTTACCATCAGGGAAAGAACTCAATAATTTACAAGAGCTTCTGGCCAGACCCAAAGATGTCACCTATGGATATGCTGAATGTTGCCAGTAATATACAAAATACTTACCTGTAAGGAAGCTGAATCGGGTGTCTCTCCCTCTCTCTTTCTCTGGTATCACCGGTGGCCAGCTTCTGTACAGATCCCACGCCACAAGCTCTTCCTTCAGGCTCGTAGCCGCAGCACTGCTCCTCGTCTAGAGTAGACAATGCTTTGCCTTTAGGGCGCAATTCTGGTATCACTACGGTTGCCACCTGTCCCGGATTCACCATGGACAGTCCAGGTTTTGAGTCCTGCATGTGCTGTATCTGGGTATCAGCTGGCCTGAAACCCGAAAACAGCACATACAGGACTCAAAACCCGGACTGTCCTGGTGATTCTGGGAGAGGTGGCAACCCTAGGTATCACTGAATGTAAATTTGTGACTCTGCATGATGAGGATGCTATGTGGGTGCTGGAAAATTTTTGGTGAGTGTTTTAGTACACTCAAGGCCCCCCTGGTGCCACCGCTGTTTAGTATTATCTTGTGAATCTTAGACTGAAGCAGTGTTTGTTTATTTAGTAAGTCTCAGAAGGTCTTATAACTACACAGTAGTTATAAAATGCTTTATTAACAATTTTAGGCATCCATAAAACATGTGTAGCCTTCTGGGAATATCAGAACAGGAACTGGAACTGGAACTAACTTGTATGCAGTATAGAAAGTATTACATATTTAAAACTGTAAATAGTGACATGGCAAAGGTATGAACACCACACAAACTTCCTCTTACTTTTTGTTGTGTGAAGGGTTAAAAGAATTAACATACAAGTCTTCACTATTGCAGCCACAGTCCAAGCTAGTCAGAAGTTTAGAATACTGACAAATGTAGAGAGCAAATGGCAACATGCAGAGGAAGAGTACTAGGATGAAGTGTAAAGCCTCTCAGCAGGCCCAATCTTTATTTGACAGTGTAGCATAACTGAAACATCCACAGGTTATGCCAGATCACAGTGTTTGCGCTATGTATTAAAAGGACCACTTACTTTTAGTCACAGAATGCCAACAACAGTGTTTTTCCACCCACTAAGCATGTAGGCTATGTCCCCTGCATCAATTTAAATGCTAAATGCTTCTGTTTAGGAGCAGGGATCTCAAGTCTCCCTGATGTTCAGGGAGTCTCCCTCTTTTGGACAGCAGCTCCCTGATGTCCGCGAGAGAGGCATTTTCTCCCTGAAAGGTTTACTCTGAGTAAACCTTTCCGGTATATCAGTGGATAAGGTTTCAGAGTGAGGCTTGCCTCCTGGAGGAAGGTCAAGGAGGGTTATATCTGTGAAGCGAATCTGTACTCTATTTATAAAGTAGCTATAGGAAGATGCTTGCTGTTACCTTTTTTACCTTTACATGACAGAAAAAACGGTCCTTTACACAACAAGGCAAGGTACACACAAGCAATGCAGATTAAAGCATAAAGGTATAATAGGCAAACATTATTACGGCACTCATTGGACGATTATGTAGAAGTGAAGCTGTGGGGCAAGGTTGTGCCAAAGAGGACACAGATCATCCTAGGTTGCTCCAGTGCTGGCTCTAAAGTGGAGGAAGGAAGGTCCAGCATGCAAAAAGTAGAAAGGAGAGGAAAAGGGTGAAGGCAGGGGAAGGGGAGGAGAGGATACTGTTAGGAAAAGGGAAAGCAGAAATGAGTGATAAAGCAGAGAAGGGGGCAAGGAAAGTTGGAAGGGGAGGGGGAGATCTGGACTGTTATGCTAGGATCAGTGTCATGTGGTCCAGGGATGGAAGGTAAGTGGCAAATCTTGGAAAAAGCTGGAGTCTCACCACTACCTTCTAAGACTGGATTGGCAGACCATCAAAATGACTTCTGGGGTTCCTTTTGACATTGCTGATGTACAGTAGGTTTCCAAACCTTTAGAAAAGAGGGCTGGGTACCCATCAAACCTCTACTGCAATTTTTCCCTGGTCTATAAGATCTTGCCTCTTTCAAACAATCACTGACTTGTCTTCTCTCATGATCTCCAACCATAAGTGCAAACAAATTTTGAAGTACATGCGAGCAATGATATAGAGATCTTGACTGTGATCTTCTAGAATTATGCAAATTAGAAGAGTTTATATTTCTTGGGGATGGATGACGCAGAGAAGGGCTAAATTTAGGTGACATTTGTATTAAAACTTTACAACACAAATGTTATTAAATAATATTTTCCATACTTACAGATGTACAGATAGTTGTTTGACATTATCCATTTTAGGGGCAGCAGAGCAATGCTTGCCACAGCATTGCTCTGCTGCCTTGTGTTTATCCAAAATGAATAATAACATTATCCATTTTAGATAAACATTGTCATAATAAGCATACAGGATGTGTGAGAAAGGATATATAAGGGAAGATATGAGAAAGAAACATTGAGGGCAACAACTCACAAGCAAAAGAAAATGTCAGTAGGTACAGGGTCTTCCCAAGAAGAGAGTAGATTCTACCCCCTGAGAACAAGAAGTAGCGTTTGCTACATTCGCACCATCCAGAGAAAGGCTGGCCAATATGGAGGAGAGGAAGAGGAAATAAAGAAATGGAATACACACTCTGGGTTCCAAGAAATGTGAACTGCCACCTGCCATTGCCCGATCCGTAAAAGATGTAATAACCTCCAAGATCATCAGAACTGGAGTTCCCCCCAGTAGGAGATATGACTGACATTTTTTTAGAAGTGGAAAGTCCCATCAAAATCCCTTTGCATTCTCCATTCCCTAGTGATATTATACTGCCTCTAACTGGCAGGTAAAACCACAAGTGAAATCAGTAATATTTCTTGCACAATCCCTTTTGCAATGCTTACAGTAACTGCATATGACACAATAGTAACAAGAAAGCCTATTCAATTATTTTGAGCAATATTGAGTAAACATGTCCTAGTCTTTTTTTATTAGGCAAGGGATTGCTTTAATTTGCTGGTGAAGAATGTGACAGTATATGCTTGGCACACTTCATATTAGTACAAACACATACAAGGATAAGTCCCATGCTTTTAAAATACACAGATGAATGTATAAAATTGCCCAAACTGTCTAGGGGCCCACATGAAAAGGGGATTCTTTTGTTCTCTACCATGACCAGGAGCAGGACTGGGAGACCCAGGCGTCATTTCAGCTGTTAGTGCAGGCGTCTACCCCGTGGTAGATCTACAAGGTGGCTGGGCGGGCGGACTTCAATAAGCTGCTGGAGCACTCTCGGGAGCTGTGTGACATCTGTGTGACTGGGCTTCCTGGAGTGCAGGTCAGATTAACTGTTCATGACCAGGAGTTGCAACCTGTGCACTGCCCTGGTCCTGAAACAGAAGCTGGCCTTGGAGGTAAGAGAGGAGATATCCCCAATCTATGGGCACTGTGCATATTAAGGGACAGCTGGGTAGAATAAGACATATGAGGGGGTGCAAACTGGGCATCTCATACAATGTGAGGGTGTACAAACTGGGAATTTCAAA